GTTCTATCCTTATATACCCATCCGAAACCTACACTAAAAAAGACTCAACAAAAAAAAAGAACACAAACTCTCACCTCACAAACAAACGACCAACCCCCAACCCACCCACTACTCCCTCAACCCGCTTAATACGATTTCTCTCCGGCGCAAGAGAGAGTGAGACCCTGAGTTAGAACGAGAACACATAAGCGGTAGTCTCAACGGGCTCAAGAAGATCTGCAGGAGTCCCGGAAACCCTCTTCGGGCGGGAGTCCTTTCGGCACCTGTGGTCATAACCGGCAATCTGATCCGCCTTGGCCCGGTACGGAGGAACGTGTACATTTTAATCAATTTTTCACACACACACACACACACACACACACACACACACACACACACACACACACACACACACACACACACACACACACACACACACACACACACACACACACACACGCGCGCGCACGTCATGCGCTTGTAGACGGCCTGGCCCTGCAGTGACTCCACGTTGAAGCTGTTTGTCTTTGTTGGCATGATGATGAAGGCAACCACCGTCACGGGGTTCGCCTGCGATTGAAGCTTGTAGTTCAACCTACACATTTGAGAGGGGGTGGGGGTGGGGTGGGGTGGGTGGAGAAAAGTGGCACGAGAAATTGTCAAGGGAAAGGACAGCGCGACACGTGAGTGTGTTCGGTTGTGCTTTCATCACAAGTCGGGCGCATGCAACACAAAGTGGCCCATTGCAATTGCGAGCATAAAACACAAACACAAGCATGTTTTACACCAACAACACCCCCATCACCAGCATCACCACTGCCGTCGGCGTACCGTGCCAGGGCCTCGAGGTACATGTCTGCGCCCTTGTTGATGAGCTCGTAGCGGCCTGCCGTGAAGAAGTACAGCGTCTTGTCCAGATCAAAGTCGAGGTGGCCGTAAAAGTGCCCGCGCACAAACTTGTGGATCTTCTCCTTGGCCGTCGCGTGTCTGTTCTGGAACTCGTGCAGTGCGCTGAACTTGACAACATTCAGCCCTGATGGCGTAGTAGTGTTGTTGTGTGTGTGTGTGTGTGTGTGTGTGTGTGTGTGTGTGTGTGTGTGTGCGTGCGTGTGTGTGTGTGCGTAAATGTGCAAGTGTGAGCCCAAGACAGCACTGTCAGCCACAGCAGTGACACAAACACTCGCATCATCCAAGTCAAACCAAAGCTATCCTAATGAACAAACACACACACACACACAACGAACACGACCAAGAGATCACGCGTGCGTACCATTTGGGGTGATGCAGTCTGGCTTTCGTTTGAGAAGGTGCTCGGCCTCGAGCGCTGTGATCTCAGACACGGTCGTGAACACATGTGCACCGTGCGCCGACGCGCGCTCAATGCAGTAGCGGTGATAGATTTGGCGATCCCTGGTTGGCGGGGGTGGCGATGACGGTCGTGGTAGTGTTAGTGGTTGTGGTGGCCGTGGCCGTGGCCGTTGCCGTGGCCGTGGCCGTTGCCGTGGTTGTGGACAGCCAGTGCAAAATAAAGCATGCGACATGCTCATGTTGTTGATTGTATCATCACATGTTCAACAGCAACGTAGACCTCACCCACGCTCGCACGCTCGCACGCTCGCACGCTCGCACAAGGCACACGTGATCATGATTGAGTGTCTGGCACGCGTACCCTGCTTCCTTGTCCACGTCAAACTTGTCCAGCCGGTTGTAAAAGTCCTGGCTCTTGTCGGCGCACAAGTACCTGTCACACAAGGATCAGTGGTGATAAGCACAGACAAAACAGGTTACATCCCAGTCACGTGTGGGTTGAACGCGTGTGGGTATGTATGCTAGCATGCACGCGAGCTCTACACACACACACACACACACACACACACACACACACACACACACACATACACACACACACACCTGCCGAGGAGGGTGGCGTGTGTGGTAAAGACGGTGGCGATGGGGAGATTGCGGACGCGCGACAGCACAAGGCCGATACCAGCTGGCAGCAGTCGTCATCATCATCATCATCATCATCATCATCATCATCATCGTCATCATCGTCATCAACATCATCATCATCATCATCATCGTCATCACCAGCCACCAGCAGCAGGACGAAAGGTGGAAATGAGCAACGATGTGAAAGAAAGATGGACACAATGATGGCCATGAAGACAACGCAGTTATGTGCGGACAGCGCCGATCGGTGCAGATGTGTGAAGGAGACGCAGTCGCAAGCCAGCACGGGCACGCACCGAGCCATTCGTGAAAGTGGGCAACAACGCTGGTTTTCTCGCCAGCCACCTCAAGTTGGTGCACATACTGCCAACAGCGAAAAAGGCAGCAAGAAAAGTGATGGGGAAGGAAGAGAGGAATGGAGTGGATGAGTGAGGTTCTTCATCAACCACGGCACGGCAGCTCACACAGACACGCTCACGCATTCACACACTCTCACACGCACATCCCCATCCACACATCCACACAATCACACACACGCTCACACACGACACACATATACACACACAAGCACACACATACACAAGCACATCACATAACAGTCCCAACCAAGGACCGTGTGCGCACCTCGCCAAGGAACCAGGCGACGAGGTAGCCAAAGACAATGGCGCGGCTGGACTCTTCATCCGAATCCGGACAGCCAATGCCCGTCAGCTCATACAGATCCTACACATACACACAAAATACAAAACACAAACGCACACATGGCATACGTGCACGTGCGTGAGTTGGGCGCGTTAGAGAGGAGGGAAATGGCTCGAACCCACACCGACACACCGCGGCACACAACAGCTTCTACACGGTGTGATTGTTTTCTGCCAAGACACTACACCAGGTGTGATGATGTGACAAACCTTCTTCCAGCCGCCAAGCTTGTACCACGCAGAGCCAACGTCGAACAGCACGACCTGTCACGGCAACAGTTGCAGCAACACAGCAGCAACACAGCGCGTAAATGAGCAAAGGGTGAGGGGTGGCGACGACCAAAGCTCACCAAGGGCGCAAGCAAGGTTAACATTCCGCATGCACTGCCACCACCACCTCGATGCAGGAACACAAACAAGGTGAGTCCTTGTTGTCGTACCCATGGTGCTCCCTCAATGAGCCAGCGCCCGTAGGTCACGCTGATGCCCTGTGAACGCATGGCTTGCAGCGCGCGCGCCAGCGGCTGTTGCATCGGCAGAAGTTGTCGACAACGTGTGAGCACAGCGGGGTGAGAGGAAGCAGCGTCACACCTTTTGTACGTGGTGACAACAGCAGACCACTGGTCACTCAATTCGCGATGCAGACCGAACCTCTGTTTCACACACACACACACACACACACACACACACACACACACACACACACCTCTGATTCGGGTGTGCATTCTTCGACGTCAGTCTTGGCCGTTGCCTCCTGATATGGCCCAATCAGACTGCAGCAACAAACACAGCACTAGTCAGTCGTGTGTGCTGATGCGCATATACTGACAGACTGACAGCACACGCCCATGCACACGTGTACAGTACATGTACAAATACTTGCAAAACAAAGGCACACACATCTTTCCGTTCCTCACCAGTAATCGTCTTTGTGAACGCGAGAGAAAGTTGCGGGAACCTTGGTCTTGATCACAGTGTGAATGCCACCCACTGCATACATCACACACACACACACACGTATGCACAAATTGGATCAGCCAAACACGAACAGACCCATGGGCCAATCGCGGCAAAGCACGAAAGCAGCAGCTCAAGGTCATCATGTCGGCAGCTGTAGACCACCACACCTTTGTTGCAGACTTCCCAGGCCACCTCGAACGTCATATCCTTGCGCCTGTCTGGGTCCTCAGCATGTGTGCTTTGGCTGCGAAGGATGCCCTTCACGGCACTCTACAAGCGATGGCATCGCGGCAACACAATGTGGGGTGTGTGTGTATGTGGGTGAGTGTGTGTGAGTGTGTGTGTGAGAGAGAGTGTGTGTGTGGTGTGTGTGTGTGTATGTGTGTGTGTGTGTGAGTGAGTGTGTGAGTGTGTGTGTGAGTGTGTGTGTGTGTGAGATGTGGTGGCTGGAACAACTCCGAGCTCAGGTACCTACCCGACCAACAAGACACCCGACCAACACATCCAAACACAACACACAGCCATCCCAACTGCATGCATATCCGGCAGTCCCGCCACAAACACACACACACATACATACATACCCGCAGCTCCTCATCAGTGGGTATCTTGGGAACACTCATGCTGCTGCTTGCTGATGCTGCTTGCTGATGCTGCTTGCTGATGCTGCTTGCTGATGGTGTTGCTAGTGCTGTTGACGACTGCTGACGGGAACGATGAAGGACAGTTGGAGCAGGTGTAGCAGGTGAAGCAAGAGGGAAGAATGAAAAGCAAAGTGGCTGGCTTGGTTGAGGCGGCTTGGTGCTTCGGTTGTGATGATGTGACAACAATTAACAACTCACGCCGCGTTCGTTGGCGTGTAGTTCGGCAGCCTTGTTGTTGTTGTTGTTGGTGTTGTGATGAGTTGCAGTGTCGTGAGTTCTGCTCTCTGCTGCTTCCCTTCTGCTGTTGCTTCTGCCGCTTCTTCTGCAAGTTCTGGTTCTGGATGACGCCGGCTTCGCTTTTGTTGCACAGCCTGTGCGCGTTTTTCTGTCACTGGTTGGGGGTGATTTCAGCTTTGACGTCAGTTTTTTCGTCGTGTTTTCATGTAATTTTCCACTGACATCTTGCTTGCGTCATTGCATGAGGCTGATTTTGTGTGCGGGAGATCGGAACCGCTGTCAATTTATCGTGTCGAGCTAGAACAACATGCTTTGGACATTTCCGTGTGTCGTCTTGTCGCAACAACAACAACAACAACAAGAGAGAAGAGAAGTGGAGCAGCGATGTCCCAACAAGGAGAAGAGGAAGTGGATGGGTGGGAAGGGAAGAACGACCCTGATGATGAATACGCAAACGAGGAGGCAAGTGCACACTGCATGCTGTGTGACGTCTGTTTGTGTGTGTGTGTGTCTGTGTGTTTGTGTGTGTCTGTCTGTGTATCTGTCTGTCTGTGTGTGTGTGTGTGATGTGCGATCATGCTTGTGTTTTTGCTTGCCCTTCCTTGTTTTTCCTTGCTCCTCCTCCTTGTTCTTGTTTGCCCTTCCTTGCCCTTGCTTGCCGTTTCCATCGCCATCTGACCACCACCCCTCACCTTCACCGCCTCCTCACACTTACTGGCTGCAACTGCACACAGGTGGATCCCCGTGTGGAACAGTACCTGGAGCAAATGAACAAGGCCACGGATGACATCAACAAACACGAAAACAAATATGACGTGCGTTGTCTTTTGGGGGTGTCAAGGGGAAAGGGTTTCGCAGTCTCAACGCTGTATTATGTGTTGATGTGTTTCTTGGATCCTTTTCCTCCTCCACCTGTCTATTTTACCTGGCCTGCTCCTTACCCCTTTCTGTCTCTCGTCTGTGGGTTTTGACCATCAACCCTTCCTTATTGGTACCTTTCACCCTGCCTCCCTGCCATGCGTAATTGCAACATATGTCCCGCAGGAGATAAAGGCTGCGTTTCAAGCAGCTCTCTCCAAGATTGAGGTCAGTGTTGTGTATGTGCGCGTGTGTATGTGCGCGCGCGCGCGCGTGTGTGTGTGTGTGTGTGTGTGTGTGTGTGTGTGTGTGTGTGTGTGTGTGTGTGTGTGTGTGTGTGTGTGTGTGTGTGTGTGCGTCTGCTGTGGTATGTTCATGTGTGGTTGGATCTGCCTTCTGCAGTGCCTTGTACAGTGGCTTCTACAGTGCCCTCACATCATCATTCACCTTCCCCTCCTCAACACACACACA